ATACGCACACACACACAGACACACACACACACACAGACACACACACATATTTTTTGCTGCTGCCTCTAGTCTCCAATTGGACTTTTGTCTATCTGGCCGCACTTCCTTTATGTTTAAAATATGGCGTTAAATCCCTCACTGCTTCTATGTGTTTTTCTATTGACTTGTGGGAACACAGTGGGAGCTTTTGAATTATTCAAAGGAGAAAATTGGTTGAGCACAACATGACACAATGACAGATGTTGTGAGAGTTATGTTCAAAAATATAAATCCGAACCACTACTTTTAAGCCGACCTTTTATTTATTAAGTTCTACAGCTAATAGTGCTCATACTAATACAAACAAAACAAAACAAAATCAGTTAAAAATAGACACAATTCAATATCAAAATGGACTGTGGAGTTTAGGGTCACAGTGAAAAGGTCAGTTTTGTGGAGATCAGGGTAAAGGGTGTTCTAGAGCAAAAATGTCTCGTTTCTTTCACTTACTCTAGATTATGCTTTATTAACTGTGGGAGTGTATTCCAATCAGATCTGCAGTTACTAACAACATTATTTTACTATATCAGTTGGCCCAGAGATGATTCTAATTATGATATTCTCTCAAAATCAAACTTTTAAACGATACAGTTCTCTCCAATCACAACACAAGAGAATGCACTGAGGAGGCAGCTACTGTTTCTGATAGACTGATTTACAAAGGACTTTACTAATCCTGAATTGTTGCACTGTTTAAAGCAGTAGAACATTTGGCAGAATCCTCGCACTTCTCAGCAAGAAGCTCTTGGGTTTAAATCCTGGTCAGAACAGGGCAATTCTGAGCTAAGTTTGCATGTTTTGGGTGTGTTGGTTTGCTCGGATGCTGTAGTTTCTCCTACCACTAAGTACATGCACAATAAACCTCCAGCTCCGGTTCTGTTCAAGCCGAGCATTGACATCTGGGTTAGGGTTAGGGTTCTACCTTGTGGCGACCGCTGCTCCGGAGAGGCCCTCGTGGCAGTGCAGAATGGGTCAAATGCAGAAGACAAAGATCCCTATGAGGCCAATAAAGTATACCTAACCTTTTTCTTGTGTTTGGATGTGTCTGGGAAGTAAAATGATATACCACTAATCTTGACTATGTTTTGCGAATAATCCAAGTCTAATCTGTCATTATGGGCTTTAAGTGCAAATGTGAGGCCATGAGTAATCCCAGTTTCTCGCACTGCTCTTCTTCTCAGTGTGATCTTGCTACACGTGTTGACTGGCAGACACAAGAACGATATGATTATGATCCAGTACTGACGCCAGGGCAGTACTTCTAAAGTGTGTGGATTCACTGGTGTCTGAGCCGATACTAAAATGTCTTTGGTGTTTGTTCTTTGTCCTTTTTGAGTGTTGCGTTTACCACATGTCCAAAATAAGGCATAACTAACATTTCAATGCTATAAAGTAGGCTAATATCAATGTCACGGTTAAAACGTTTACTCTTTTGGACCATGCTAGTTCGGATGTAGGAATTGAATTGTTCTAAAACAGGTCCTGTAATTCTCTGAGTATGCAAATGAGCGTACGTTTTTATGCTATACCCCATCATCTGGCAGATTAATTAAGACTTTGTAATGTCACTTCAACTGGAGTAGTAGTTAATATAGCAGTACTGAGCAATACACTTTTTTATATACAATACTTGATAGTTGTGTCTTCTACCAGCCTATACTTTTACCTAGGTAAAGTACTCACAATTGGTTGCAGTTTTGGAGTACCTTCATATACATCTCTCTCTCTCATCGTCAGTGCCGTCAGCCCGATGTGACATGCTTTCTATAATTGTAACTTGTACCTTTTCCCTTAAATCCTACATTACCCAACAGTCATACTACTATGGCCCGTGACTGCAGTATTCTTTTCAATATTTTGTCATAAACTATTTGGTGAACTTCAGGTATCTCCCTTTGTTTTGTCTCCTGTTGCCATGGCACCAGTCTGTACAGTTTGAGTGATACAATATTTAAGCTTTGCAATACAATACTTATATCTGATTTGTATTTTCAATTTTTTTATTTACAAAGCAGTAGTTTTAGATTTGCTGTGCTTTAAAATGATGTGGATATTTTTTCTGACCTAAAATATACTGTAGACTTTGCTAAATTTTATATAAATCGGTATTGTTTCATGTGAATAAAGTATTTCTAGAGCAATTTTAGCATGCTAATTGTAATATATAGGACGTCATGTTTCCAGCTGTTCATAATAACTGCATTGGGGCTACATACACAGCGAACAGTGATTTTATTTATTTTTCCAACGTTGTATTTATGGATACTTTCTTCTTATTTTTTTGAAAAATATATTTCTTTTGGCTTTTTTGAGCAGAAGGAATTGTCTTTTACATTCCTCAATAAAACGTGGATTGAAGCAAAAATGGTTCTTGGTTTTTTTTGTGTGTGGTGGGGAAACATTCACAGTAAAAGAAACTTCCTATGGATTTGGAGAAACTTGACTGAAAAAACCTTCTGCTCAAAGCATGATTACGATGTTATAAACAAGGGCATAATATGGTCATATAATGTTACAAATAAAATGTTTTCATGAACATTAAATGGCATCTGTAAATAAAACAATGACATTTCCGGTGACGATGACAAATGGCTCAATGTGACGACAAACATTAATATTCAGTATATAGTTATGTATCTCTGGTTACACCTTCTGGGGATACGTTCTTACCAGCAGAAAGCTATTAACATTGGCAGAAAGTGAAGATTTGCTGCTCCCTAGTGGCGGTAACTGGTAATGTATTTTCAAACAGGTTCTCTATGTTGACATACAGTTGTGCTTGAAAGTTTACACACCCAAAAGACATTATTTTGACAATATTTAAGAGATCAGAAATGACAACACGTAAGAATAGCATATTTTTCACTCATCGTTGGTGGTTGTGTGAAGCCATAGTCGTGTTTTTCTATTTTCAAAATGTTACATAAACTACTCCTCTGACACTGAGCAGAAGTTTCCATCCCCCAGTTCTCACAGTTCTCAGTTGCATGCTCTTAGACATCTATGATCTTTGGTTTTTTATCCTCTGATGGAAAAGCTGCCATTTAATCTTGGCAAAAGGCCTTCAGTTTTGGTAAGTTCTGGGGCTGAATTACCTGTTTTCTATGCGATCTTGGAAATATCTACGCAATCTTCAAAATTCCCAATTCCAAAGAGCAGGTGGCAGTGGACACACACATGCAGCAGCAACGACAACAACAAAGCAAAACTGTCCAGAAATGGATTCTTGTTACAGGAGCAAATATGTTGTTCTTTATGCTTAATAATACTCATACATATACAATCATTGATATATCCGCAAAGCTTTCGAGGCCATACATTTACTAGTTACATTTCTTTTGATTTTGGGTTGTATTTGGATGTATTTATTTTGCAGAGTAAAAGAGTCCGTGTGGTATAAAACAAATCCCTTCTCCGTTTCTCTCTATTCTTTCATCCAATCACAATCTGACACGTCACAGCGGCGCCAACTCAGGAACACCCGGAAAGCAACCGATCCAGCTCGAGTTTCCGAGTTTAATTTACGACTTTGAACGCAGCAAGAGTCTCCCCGGAGCAGCACAAGGATGTAATAAATTAAAAAAAAAGAGAATATATGGCTTCAAATAATCACTAACAATGAGTGAAAACAAGTTTGCCTCATAATTCAATCTCTGAAAAAAAGGCAAAAACATTGGCATTCCTGTCTCTGGGGCGTGTAAACTTTCAAGCACAACTGTACGATTAATAACGACAATATTGACATTACAACAAACATTGCATCATTTTATAAAGCGCTCGCAGTTATAAGTACATATCACATTGAGGAGAGGGTGGAGCTCCTTTTCCGACCGTGGATCAAGAGACGACAGACACCTGGGTGAGGCTGGTATTGTTGAATAAACCAAAGTCCATATAAAAGATACTAGATGCTTTTTCTATTTACTCTGTGAATTTCTTGCTACAATAAAAATCTGGTCCTAAAAACATTTCCTTTCATTTCAGCTCTTCTGAAACGTGTGAACTCAGAAACCTTTTGTGTATAGGGCTGCACGATTCGTCTCAATCCATTCGCTATTTTAGTGGCTGCCATTAGCAAATCGCATGGTTGTTCTTCAGCATTAAAACAGTCAGAAATCCCAGGCTAACGAGAGCTTCAATAAGGCAGTTTTTCTGTTAACTTGCTTTTATCGGCTAGTCCAGTCTCTCTCACTTAGTTTTAAGCACAGTGGTATTTTAGGGGAACAAGTACTGTGTCATTTCATTTCAACATTATCTGCAAAATATAGGAATAATAAAGAAATACAACTTTGAACATTATCCTCCATTTGTAACGGAAATCGCCAAAGGGATTGTAATCGCAGTGGTTATCTTAAAAGATTCAAGATTCGTGAATTTATTTGCCATTTGCAATAAGCCCACATTGGAAAAACTGTGCAAGACTACCCCAGTGTGCACCAGACAGCACACACCAGAACTCTTGCCACGGCTCCATATTTCCGGCGCCATGCAATGACAAAAATAGCTAAATGAGATAGTTCTTGAAAATCGTGCATCCCTATTTTTGTATAAAGTGAAAGTTTCCCATAGCAGCATATACAGGACATGTGAAATACCGCATTCAGGCAGAAGCGAAACTCGAGCGGTGCTGCTGTAGTACTTCCTGTTCTCTGATTCCAATTTTCAAAGAGTAGTAACCTTACTATAATGCCACAAGGTCATTTACTTTCTGAAAACAGGTCAAAATCAGATCTCCACTTTCAATCTAAATTATAACGTATGTTTTAATGGAACCAGGAAGTACTTGGTTAGCTAGCCTGCTCCTCTGTCCAGAGTCCATTGGTTGAAACAGGCTGAAATACAAGAACATTTTAAATGTTGATACAAAAAAGTAAGGTATAATCCAAAGTAATGAAGGATAATGTCTTCAAATTCAAAGTCTTAGTTGTGGAAACATGCAAAGCGGTCCTTCTCCACAGCGCTCAGGGGCTGAGGTGGTGGTTCTCTGTGGGCTGCTTCTGCAAGCTGCTCAGCTCCTGGATCAGACTCTTGAAGCTGATCCTCTTCTCTGGGGCCTGTTCCCAGCAGCGCCGCATCAGCTCATACACCTAGACACAACGAAAGACCTATTATTAAAGCATCAATAAAACTCCCCGACCACACACCGCCAGGCACCACAGCAGCACATGGAGATCAGGACCAAACAGTTGTCAAGGTGTCAAAAGTCAATTTAAAGTTTTGGAAAGGACTTTGTAAAAAGTAGAAATATTGTGTTCGCTACTGGCACATTTCCCATGATGCTTTGCAAAATGTTGTTGTTGTTTGTCCAAGCAGAAAAAGTTTTGTTAAGAAGACATTTACAAAATCACGCTACTATGAGGAACTCCTGACACAACATGTAACTTTTGACCTCTTCTGTCTAAAAGCTCCTCCCCTTTTTCTTGCAATAGTATGATGTCATTGTACCACTCGGACACTATCTTCATCCCCTTAATCTATTTCTGGGTCAGGGGGTGGCAATCGGAGCTGCACCCAATTCAGTGCATTAGCCCCTCACTGATCCTCCTGCAGGTGGTGAGTCCACAGGAGGACGGCTGCTCTGTCAGTGAGAGCACAGCCTTGATCTTTCAACAGGGGCTTCAGGCTAAGTGGGGTTAAGTGTCTTGGCCAAGGACACAACGACAGCAGACATCAGTGGGAGTCGGTGGAGAAGGTCTGGTGCTGGGCTCGGAAACCTGACCTTCAGGCTCAAAGGCCAATGCTCTACCAACTGAGCCACTGTCGCCCCACCCACTCGGGCACAATAAAAAAAAAAAAAAAAAAAAAAAAATTCTTCTCCTCCCCCTAGTGGTAGAAAAGTTGTAGGGCAGGTAGGTTGTTAGCATTGATTATCCTTGATACATTATTTCAAAAATAGTAGATTTTCTACTTATATTTTTCCACATTGAAAACAGGAAATCACAGGGTAAATAGTCTAATAATAAATGTTGGTGGCCAGCTGTTACCGACAGCTGATTGGCTGCGAGGGCTGGCATTCTCTTTTTCACTTTCACTTCATTGTATATTTATTGTTTGTGGTTTCAGAGATGGAGCATTCCTTGGAATGCACTGTTGATCTTTGAGTGTTCTGTAGAATTGTTGTTTTTGTAGAATTGTAATTCCGGTTTGCCTTCCGGTTTGCCTTTGCCCTGATTGGGCCTCAAAAAGGCCCAATCAGGGCATCAATCAAAAAGTACAACAAAAATAGTTTCATGTTGTTCTTTGAAAGAGGTTATTAATCAATCATCTATAGCTTGGATATGCATCTCAGAGATAGATATGCATTTCAAAATAAAAGTATTAAATCAAACGGAAAGGGAAATTCAATCAACTAATCAATCTTATCCTAAGCTGGACTAACTCATGTTTCGAATGTGAGCCCTGGCCTCGCTCTTTCAGCTCCCCTCCCCGCACTTACGAAGCTTTCGCCCCCCACTACCCCCCTCCCACTCAGCCTGCGCTCATGTGCTGTTGTTTACAGAGCTCGCGTCTCACAATATGGATCGCACATTTGAACGTGGATGGCTTGACCATAAAATGATAGAACCGGGAAGAGCGGAGGAACGAGACTTTCTTTTGGCTGTTTCGCTGTGTAAGCAGTAATCGGTAACAAAGACACGGGAAGTTTGAGGTTTGCCTCCACCATGATGCTTTTTACCCCAGCTGTCAGTCCGCACTAACCAGAGACCTGCAGATTTTCTCAAGAAAGTGGGGCCAGTGGTCCGCTGTGATTGGTCACATTTTGGTCCCGAAATAAAATCTCTCCTGCGTTGCAAGAAAACACTCCAGTACAAACCTGCGCTACTTATTCTTCAAAAGGACGTATATCCCAATGCACTGCATGGATATGGATTGAATTTCCCTAATGAATACAAAAATAAAGTGAGGTCGTCCAGCTTTAATTTATATGGCACTAAAATAGATCTGGCTTTTCAAAAAACGTCTTGGTCAAGGAACAAATGTAAGCCTTTCAAATGAAATATTCATATATTGTCAAACTATTTAAGTGCAAAGTCAAAGAGTGGCTTTTCTCACCGGCTCGGGGCAGTTGTCTGGACGTGGCAGCCTCTTCCCCTCCTTGAGTGCGGTGACCAGCTTCACCACGGTCATCCCTCCTTGAGAGGGAGCGATCATACTGAGAAAGAGCTGTGGACACGACAGAGTTACAGGGTTACAGAGTTACAGGGTTACAGAGGTACAGGGTTACAGAGTTACAGGGTTGGGTGTCACAGAGACGCTGCGACAGTAAAACGATAGAGTTGGGTTCGGATTGGCCTTTTGTTTACATGAAGACGGTGTTTCAGGGGGATGAAAAACAGCCTCCAGAGTGGAACAGAACAGATATGCGGCGTGAACGAAAAAATAGTAAATTCTCTGGCTCACCACTTCCATGCATATACTTTTGGACATGCGCAGTCCCCGAGTACAAACGTGAACAAAAATGGCAGCGGGTGAACTAATGCTACGTGTGCTTTGAGTGCTACACGGAGGATAATTAATAATAAAAATAATGCATCTGTTTTATACCTTTTTTGGACTCTCAAAAAAGCTTCACATGTCATTATTCATTCACTCCATACAAAGTGTGACAAACTACTACTGTAGCCACAGCTGCCCTGGGCCACACTGACAGAAGCGAGGCAACCAGTATATGCCGTCGGCCCCTTCGTCCGTCCAAATAAAACCATGCAAAGTTGTAGTTTCAGTTTCCATTTCGCAGCTGCTGTTAAATACAGAATGATGTTCATCCTAATTCATCCTCGCTGTGTGAAGGAGAGGTTCAGTAGGTCTTTCCTTCCTGCTGCTGTCAGACTGTACAATGAGAACTGCTGAGCCTGTAAATCTCATTCATCTGTAAATAAGTAAATTCTTAAATCAGGTGCAATGTGCATTACTGCAACTTCAGAATATCCACTGAACAATGTCACTTTACTGATCTACTTATTATCCTGCACTATATGTACAGTATATAACTCCGCACTACTACATATATACTTTTTTTTTTAACTGGTATTAAATCATTTTCAGCATCTACAGCTAGTTATGCTAGTTAAGAAACATAGCTACTACTTATTTTGTATATTGTGTGTGCTCCCTGTGTGCTCTTACTGTCCTGTATGTGCGCTGCAACATCGAAATTTCCCCACTTTGGGACGAATAAAGGAACTCTTATCTTATCTTATGTTAGTGCATTCTTTCAATTCTTTGCCGTCGCCTGAGGAGGATGTTGTTGAGGAAGTGATTATACTGCTGGGGGTCCAGTGTGTTGGGATGTAAAATTCCACTGCCCCCTACTGGCCGGGCGCTAGAACTGCATTGTTTTCCACCGTCATGTAGACTCTGTGCACTTCGAATAAGCCTAAGTTTTACAAAGCTCGGCCGCATTATATACATCACGGCAAAATCAGATCCAATCGTTTCAATCTGCAAACGAAGTTAACCCCTCCCACCTGTTAACAAAGCTCAATGGAGCAAATCCAGACCTTAGTACGAAATTAAATGAGTTTGATGGTATGGTAAGACCAGGCTATGGCAGATGTCTACATAATGATAGAGGTTAATGACGCCCTAAATAGAGAAACAGGCAGAATGCTGCGGTGCTTACATTCATGGGGCTCTTGAGCGACTCGCAGTAGGTGATCAGCTCGAACATGGTCACTCCAAACGACCACACGTCCGACGAGCGGTAGAACTTACAGTGGGTCAGACATTCCGGAGCGTACCTGCAGACCCAGATCACACAGAGGTATGAGATATGAGACCATGTGGGTACGTTTAATAGTACATTGATCATCGGCAACGCATGGGGTCTGTACTCTTTACTCTTTTTAATGCACTGTGGCTATTTTTTTTTTTAAATCTTGATTTTTGTGTGTGATTTCTTATGTTTTAAGATTTTTAATTACTTTTTAATTTAGATCTTAATCTATTTTGAATATTTCTTGTGATATGCTTGTTTTTAATCGTATATCATATTTTTATGCACATGTAGATTTTAATGTTTATGATTTATGCCTGATGAGATACGGGTTTTGTGTTAACTTGTGTAGGAAGGGCGCTCTACACATTTTTTTTATTGATTGATTGAGCTGATAATTCACAAGTCACTTTACCTGCTGCTATTATTCTTATACTCTCTTCTGCTAAAGTACAATAAAAAAACCATCTGTAAATACCTCCTGATGCTACAGTGTATACTCCACAAGTGCAATTATAGCTAAACATTGTCTATTATCTTAAATAATAGATCCTGTTTTTTTATGTGTGCAACCTGAGTGCTTTTATATTCTATTCTGCTGTAATGTGTGCAATGATGACTCCATGTGTTTTTATCAGGGCGTTTCTTGTGTTTGAACGGTTTGATTCTCTGATCTGTGTTGGCGAATCAACGGTTTTGGAAAGTCCTCTGAGATAACTACTGTTGTGCTTCAGCGCTATACAAAAATAAATTGAACAGTATAAGCATTGTAACACGCTGGTATTGCTTCAAACTGACCAAAAGACAGGGCTCTCGTTCTCGTCCTTCACGGTGTAATATCCGTCATTGTCTTTGATGCTTTTCGTGAGGCCGAAGTCTCCGATCTTGACCGTGCGCTCGTTCTCCATGAGGACGTTACGTGCGGCTAAATCTCTGTGGATGTAATTCTTAGAGCCCAGATAGTCCATTCCCTGTATTAGGATCAACATGACACATTAAGGAACAGTACAATACGCAAGTGAGTATAAAGAGAGTATTTGTGTGTAAAAGTACCATGTGTATAAAGAGAGTATTTGTGTGTAAAAGTACCGTGTGTATAAAGAGAGTATTTGTGTGTAAAAGTACCATGTGTATAAAGGGAGTAATTGTGTGTAAAAGTACCATGTGTATAAAGAGAGTATTTGTGTGTAAAAGTACCATGTGTATAAAGGGAGTATTTGTGTGTAAAAGTACCATGTGTATAAAGAGAGTATTTGTGTGTAAAAGTACCATGTGTATAAAGGGAGTATTTGTGTGTAAAAGTACCATGTGTATAAAGAGAGCATTTTGTGTGTAAAAGTACCATGTGTATAAAGAGAGTATTTGTGTGTAAAAGTACCATGTGTATAAAGAGAGTATTTGTGTACAAAAGTACCATGTGTATAAAGGGAGTATTTGTGTGTAAAAGTACCATGTGTATAAAGAGAGTATTTGTGTGTAAAAGTACCATGTGTATAAAGAGAGCATTTGTGTGTAAAAGTACCATGTGTATAAAGAGAGTATTTGTGTGTAAAAGTACCATGTGTATAAAGAGAGTATTTGTGTACAAAAGTACCATGTGTATAAAGGGAGTATTTGTGTGTAAAAGTACCATGCATATCTGCGTCGCGTAGCTCAGCAGCGTGTCCAGTTTTGTCTTGCTTTTGTTTTTAGGGAGGTGCTCCTTCAAACTTCCCAGCGGTAAATACTCCATGATCAGTTTGATAGCTTGGCCACCTACAAAAGATGTATTATATTATTTTCTGAAGTTGAATCAATGGGGTCAATATGAGTGATTATGCTCAATACATAATGTTTTTGTTTGATAAATAACACATGTTGCTTGTGCCAACCAGTGGGGCGGGTCCCGCCTCCAACAGGTTCATGACTTTTCAAGGCACTTGTTAAATGAATGTGGCTGATGCCGGCTAACGCATGCGGAAATAAGTTTTTTCACATTTTCTTGCCCTCCAGCCATTTTGAGAAAAAAATATATATACAGAAGGCAAAAGTGGTGGCACATAAGTTTCAATGGCGGAGATAGGCGTGACTACGTCTGTTTATATTTACAGTGTATGGCGCCAACATAATGTCCTGTCAAAGTAAAATGTCATGTGCTTACTTCATCTTAATAGAAAAAATTTTATCAGACTCAGAATTTGTATCTGAATTATTTCTATCCCCAAACGTGGAATTTGCTTTGGCATATGATGCAAGTTATACAAACATAAAAAGAGCCCGGTGAGTTGCTATTAGACTCTGGGCTGAGAGCTGATTGGCTGAGTCTTGTTTCTCTTTTTAACTTTTTTGTCTTAACATGTGGCAGAGGCCAAAATACATGCATGAGAAAACTAGCAATAGAACCAAACTGGTTTGAAAGCAATGAACTAGATGGATTTATTTCTTTATTTCTTTTTAGTAGATTCAAAGGCTACATACCCCAGCTTTAAATACTCTGCTATTGTCGAATAATAACAATCCACTCACTTTCATCCAGACAGATGCCCTTGTATTTCACGATGTTGTCATGGTACAGAGCCTTTAGGATGTTGATCTCTGTGGACAGGTTGTTTCCCTGCTCGCCGCGGTTTTCGGGCTTTAAAGACTTGACCGCTACTTGTTCACCGGTTTTGTCTCCGCGGGGGTCATACCGGCACAGCTCCACCTTCCCAAAGTGTCCCTGAAACACACATCCAGCGCACACGTTGGACAAACGTCTAATGGCTTTCTCTCAAACCGTGTTCTGGTGTTGTAGCAAAGGCCGGTACCTCTCCCAGATCTCGGATCTTCTTCAGGAACCGTTTTTCAAATATAGTCGGGTCTACTATGTTTGTCGGCAGTGGTTTGAAGCATGGGTCTAAAGAAAAGAAAAAAAACACAATAGTTATAGATTGAAACATTTACAGTGATTAGCCCGAAGTTGTGAGGCTTGATTCTTGAAACAAAAACTTTCAACATGTATAATTCATATATTTGGCCTCTTATGCCTTGTAAAGTTGAGTTATTGATACTTAGAAATGCTTATGTTTTAGCAGATTATCCAATCAGAGAGCAGAATGAATTTCTCATTTGGGATGTCAGTTTCTTGATTGTGGTAGAAATCTTTCTTCTGTGAAAAAATTTTTTAATAACTCCAAAACCAAAATAGCTTCACAAACGTATCTAAAAAAATATATACTAGTCATAGATCTATAATATAATAAAATATCATGTGCAAATGTTGTACTATTTCTAGCTAAACCCCAGCGGGTGCAAATGTGTGTCACAGACAGCAAGATGTATTGTTGTATGTTTATAGTTGTAGTGATATAATTTCTTTTCAAAAAAGTTTGTAATGAAAATAATCATGAAAGAATGTTTGTTTAAAGTGAATGCAGTGGCGTATTGTGTCCAGCAGAGGGAGTGTACGCCTGATAATAATGATGACAGTGCACTGAGTGAACTTCCTCATGCTTAGGGTAAACAACCACAGCAGAGGCCACAGCGAGGGGATGGTCATGTGGTGTTCTGAAGACAGCTACTTTTCAACAAAACAGTAGGCTTACATTTTGGTATTTGATCATGCAATTGCGACAGGATAGTAAGATAAAAATGACCTGCCACAGATGATTAAAAGTAGAAGAAAAATACCATACATTTGGGTCTGAAAGAGTCTGAATGCTTGATCCAGGGCTGGTCAAGTTAGGAAAAATCATCACATTTTTATTTATTTAGGGTATTTCTTAATCAATGTGGCGGGTGAATTTGACCCATGGATAGGACAAGGAGGACAACTATTCATCCCAAGTTACAGAACTGTGGGAATTAGCTATACTTAAAATTCACATACCTAAGTAATCTAGATGTTACAGCAACAAAAAACCCCAAACAAATGATATTATCACTGTTTTAACTTTTATCTTTTTCTGGTTAAAAATAACAAAACATGCAGTGTAAAAAATGCAGGATGTTTAGACTATAATAATAATGGAATCAGTCTGAACTGTGGCGTCACGCATACAGTAGTCAGTTATAAATATGTATGTTTATTTATTTTTGTTGAGACGTCTTTTTTGTCTAGACTTTTTTGTGTATGTAATAAAGTTAGGCACATGAGTGTATTCCAAGTAATCAAATGTCCTTCTCTGATTGGACCGTGTGACAGAATACAATACTAAATACACGTTAAAGCAGGATTTGAGTATTCTGTGAATGCGGTTTCAAAATATTCTCCCTGACTGTTGCTGAGGTGTGTCTGTGATAACATAGAGCACAAGACAGGTGCGGTGTGGTACATACTCTCCTCCTCCAGCATGTCCAGGTCCCGTACGATGGCCCTGAAGAACGGCCTCTTCTTGGGCTCGTAGGTCATGCACTGGCTCATGAGTGTGGCCAGCTCCCTGTAGTCGGGCGTGGCCAGCTGACATTCCGTTTCATAAAAGCGCTCCTTCTGCTCAGCACACACACACACACACAAACAGACACACACGAAACATATAGAAGTTTATCTTATGAATACTAATATTCAAGTCTGCAAGTCGACTTAGCTGTGCATGACTATGACTGGAGAATTGTATTATTATTCCTTGTTTACTTTAGGATCTATGTGTTACTGTGTGAGGAGGACAAACTTATTTACTTATAATATAATAATAATAATAATAATAATAAGCATTGGTTTTTTATAGCGCTTTTTTGGACACTCAAAGACGCTTCACATGTCATTATTAATTCACTCCAACGGTGGTGATAAACTACAACTGTAGCCACGAGTTGTGCCATCGGCCCCTCCGACCACCACCCACCATTCACACACACACCAGACTCATTCTAGTGTCTTGCCTAAGGACACAACGGCTGTTTGGCACTTTACAGCCGCAGCTGCCCCACTGTGGCATCAGGTGTTCCCAGAGGTTAAGGGTCTTGCCAAGGACGACAGCAGACATCAGTGGGGTGGTGAAAGTCTTGAGGTGGGCTCGAACCCACGATCTTCTGGCTCAAAGGCCAATGCACTACCAACTGAGCTACTGTCGCCCAAACTTCCTTCTCAAGCGAATGTATATAGACCAGGGGTCACCAACGCGGTGCGGGCACCAGGTCGCCCGCAAGGACCAGATGAGTCGCCCGCTGGCCTGTTCTAAAAATAGCTCAAATGGCAGCACTTACCAGTGCTATTCTTGTTTAAATCATACTTACATGCAACTTACAAATGGCATATAAACTAGAGCCGGGACTTTAACAAGTTAATAAAGATTAATTAATTACACACAAAAAAGCGCGTTAAAAAAATTACGCATTTTAATCGTATGTATTTTTGCACCGCGGAACGTTCCTCACTGAATAAGTTTCAGACGGACCAATTGAACTGACGCACCAACCGGAGCTCCGTGACTTTTCTTGTTCAAAAGTACATTATTACAAGCAGAGACCAACTTTATATTCGAGTAAATTAGACGGGAATGAGCGCTGCGTATGGAGCGATGGACTCTGTGTGTGAGGAGGAGGAGCAGTGACTCCTGTGTGAGCGGAGGAGGAGGAGGAGGAGAAGCTAGAGTCTGGAACTGTCTTCCCGATAGTGTGAGACAGGCGTCTACTCTAGCAGTTTTTAAAACTGAACTGAAAACAGTTCTTTTTAGCTGTGCATACAAGTGAATGATTTTATATTTGTTTTTATCTTTAATCTTTTTAATGCGCTATGATTATTTATGATTATTTATGATTGTAATCCCTTGTGTGATTTTAATGTTTTACGGTTTTTAACTACTTGTGTGATTTTATATATCTTGTGCTCTTAATCTGTCTTTTTATGTTTACTTAAATTCTAATGTTTGATGATTTATGCATGATGTTATATGGGTTGTGAGGCGCTTTGCGTTGCCTTGTGTAGGAAAGGCGCTCTACAAATAAACGTTGATTGATTGATTGAAGGAGGAGGAGCGAGACACAGGTGTGTGAGCTGCTAATGCTGATGTTTACTCCGAATGCACACATCAAAAACTTATTATAAAAGCTATTATTTTATTAGACACATGAGCGCATGCCCAGCTTTAGTGCTCACAGCGTGTGCAGTGGATTTTGGGCTTAAAAAGAGTATGCTGTCGTCAGTGTGAGGAGGAGGAGGAGGAGCATATGTTGTCGTCAGCGTGTGGAGGCAATGACAGAAACGTTATTTGATGTTTAGAAGTTATCCCTTAAACTCCATATTAACATGTGTTGCTTAAGCCTCATGTATTCAGTCATTATTCAATGGTAAACTAAAAATCCATGTGAAAAAAATTACTTCTCACTGTTCTCAGGTCAAATATTTATATGCGATTAAAATGTGATTAATTGCGATTAAATGGGACTGTCTTAGAAGTGATCATTTGTTAAATTTGAAAAATGTGCACTTAGAGAAAATATAAAAGTTTTTCCACAAAATAAATATCATTAATTATTAGTAAAAACATAGAATTAAAGGTAAATTGAGCAAATTGGCCATATCTGGCAATTTATTTAAGTGTGTAACAAACTGGTAGCCCTTCGCATTAACCAGTACCCAAGAAGTAGCTCTTGGTTTCAAAAAGGTTGGTGACCCCTGATATAGACACTGTACACACACTCGCACAGTTCTTTGTAGCTTATAAATGGTGCAGTGTTTTAAATGGACATTTTCACCAACACTGGGCTGGAAAAATTAGGTACACTATCAAACATGTCTCAAATTTGACTAAATGTATCTTCATTTGAAAACATTTTGACTACCTTAAAACAAGATTTGCCAATGGGACAGAGCAAAATGATCTTGTTTTATAAAGATACAAGAAATGTCTCCCTTGGAATGAGAAAATAAAGCAACAGTTTTTGATATAAGACTCAATGGCTTTGTCCCATTAATCTTGTTTTGCTCAAAACACTCAAGGAATGTTGTGAGGAGCCTTCTTTAAAAGATGAAAGATTTGACTACAACGTGTTAGTTTAGTCCCCATTTTGATAATGTGTATCCTTATATAAATACTCTACATACATCTCAATGCATTTCACATTATGTTGGATTATGAGCACTTCTGACATAACTGCCAAATGTTTAGGCACATGAGAAGAGTCATTACCTCGATCAGTCTTTTGTCCTTGAGCGGCACCTCTCCATCGTAGCAGATCTCCCACAGTGTGGTCCCAAAGCCCCACTTATCCACCGCTACATTCAGAGACGACATGTTCTTCACACACTCTGGAGCGATCCAGGGGATGCGGTGCACACACTCTGCAAACACACATTACACCTCTAGTCAAAACGAATAAGAATATACAAGGAAGCTGTGGCTCAGTTTCTAGAGCTTTGGCCTTTGAGCCTGACCGGTTGTGGGTTCGAGCCATGGATCTATAATAATAACTGGATAGGGTATTACTAGCTTATAGCTGTCCAACCTATGGGCACAGGGGGCGCCCGAGGTTCTGCAGACTAAATTCACGTGGGCTACCCAGAAAAAAGTCCCATGTAAACTAGAACCTACAGCTTTCATAAAGATCGGATTTTGTGGGGATTATAGGCCCTGTCCACACGAAGTCAAGCTCAGGCCTAAACGCAAAAATACTTTATCAATCCAGTGTATCGTCCATACGAGGCCGGCGTTTTGGGGGGGTGTAAACGAACATTTTTGAAACTAGGTCCCAGAGTGGAAAGATTTCAAAACTCCGTATATGCCGCTCCGTGGTTACTGCCTCTCCGCAATGTATCTGAGACGCTTGCGTCATCGCCCCGCCTCTTGTTAAAGCACGCATGCGCCGCACTCAGAAAATAATGACAACAACAATGTAGCTTGTTGGTTTTGTAATCCAGTGTGACCCGAAGCAACAGTTCAACCTCATCGTCCGTCCATACTAATGTAGTACCAGCTCGCCCACTCGCCATGTTGTCTGTTTACAAAATTCCGCGCATGCCCACGGAAGTTTGGGCTTGATCCCGTCATTGCGTCACAGCGCCACCAACAGGTCTGGCATAGTTTCACAGCGTTTTCAGGCGTATTGACTACATTCATATGGACGCACACATTTACTGAGCTAACTCCGTGTTTACAGAAAAAGTTTCTGAAATTATAAGCGTTTTGTCTTCGTGTGGATATAGCCTTAGTGAACTTTTTTTCTTCTTAAATCCTTCGGTTTTTTTTAAATCCACACTTTACTGCCACAAACTCTGCTCGTTTCCTTCCCGCTCTGGCTCCGCTCTACCGCTGCTCTGATCAGTTGCGCTGATTGGTCAAAGCGCGGCCGAGCCCCTCTGTGCACGTGCATGAAAGCCACACAAGCGTTTTTGGCGCAACGCATCATGGGAGCTCATCCACCACTGCACAGAACCGGGAGGACCAGACGATGCCCAAATATGGGCGAGTTCGGCTAATCTTTCGGTCCTGTGAAGTCCCATGCGCTACTGAGCACAAGCCATTCATTTGAATAGGGCGCCATCTTGGATCACCGGGTGTGGTTTGAGCCCGCCACGAGACCTTCTCCACCAACTCCTGCTGATGTCTGCTATTGTTGTGTTTTTGGGCAAGACACATGACCCCACTTTGCCTGAAGCCCCTGCTGAGAGATAAAGGCTATGCTCTCAGAGCAGCCATCCTCCTGTGGATTCACCACCTGCAGGAGGATCAGAGAGGGGCTGGTGTTCAGTGAATTATGTGCAGCTGATTCCCCTGAAACCTGACCCAGAAATGGACAAAGGGGAAGAAAATGGATGGAAGGGAAGCAGGTTTTGATTTTCTGAGCCGTTAGCAGATGTTAGTTGAGCTGTGCATTTTTAATAAAGAATGTCCACCTTCACGTGTAGAAAAAGGGGTTAAGGAGTCGAGTAAATTAGTGCTGACGTCGCCCAAAGACAATGACCCATCACGTGCACATGTGGGGGCTTTTGTATGCGTCTTGAGTGCGCATTTGTGCGGTACTCTGTGACTCTCGTGGATGCGTTGAAGTTGTTGAAGCCTTGATCAGCAGTGAGAGTGAAACGAGTATTAAAAGTATTCACTGTTGCTGTGTGAATATTGGAAATGCCTCATGAGTGCTAGCCTTCCTACGCAAACTGGCGTCCTGAGCAGCCCTGAGCTCGTGTCGATCACTACATACAGTGAAAACAAGTCTATTCAACTTACAGAACACCAAATCATGAAAATGAAAACGAAACAATGTGGACATAGTGCGAAAGTGTGAATGATAAGACACAATTGCGGAGAGAAAGTGCATAGATTAGAAACTGGACAAATATATATGGCAGAGTGCTGGGAAGAGGAGCAAAACGCTCCCCAGGGCCTTTAGGCAGCACTCTGTCCATAGCCCCGATCACGCTCAATCAAATCTACTCACAAGGACACGGCTGTAACTGGAATACTCATGCAGCAAAAAAATGGACGTCGGGGAAAAATAAATAAATGTGAGGGTTCTGGGAAAACAGCAGGAGGGAGGGCTGTTCCCCTGCGAGCTGTGGCCGTTCTTTTGCACACAAACATTTTTGGTATTTTCGGTTTTGCTTGAGCCACTCTGCGTCTGTTTGCAAACACAGTTCACATCTATCAAAACAGAAAGACAATTATTTAGTAAGTGCCCTACCAGGGTCAGCAGATAATTATTACTTTTAGAGCCATTTCAAAAGAGCTTAAATAGGAAGCCAAAGTAGCATTGTGAAAGGTAAAAAAATATATCTTCTGGAACTAAGAAAGTGTCTTATTTACCCTGAAAAAAAGTGGAGTGTGTTTTATTTTCTAGATTTCTAGAAAACTTGAATACAATGTTTTGTATGTATTTGGACTGTTTTAATATTCTATTTCTGACAGGTACTACGCTTGGCTTGTGAAGCACTTCTGATACACTGTATGAATTATGCTTTATAAATAAATTTGATTGATTGATCTGATAAGCAGGAACAACAGGAAACATAAGTTGCTTTCATCAAAAATCTAATTAGTGGGAACCGGAAATATGGTTTTCTCTGAGTGCATCAATTATAACAAGAATCCTTTTTTCCGGTTGAGTTTTCTGAAACGTCATTTATTGGGTTTATCTGCAGAAGGAGCAGTTGGGGTTGGAATCTATAAACATTTATGAATATTTAGAGACAGTTCCTCTTGCCACTTGCTAGACCAATGTCTCGGATGTGTTTTTATTATTGCATTTCCTTTTTTTATTTTTTATTGTTTGATTCTCTTCAATTGATCATATTTGTGTTAATACTAATCGTTACACAAAAATACATTGAATTGAATGTTATAACCCTAAGCCTAACTTCAAAAATTTGAATTAGAAAAACAAATTCAACAGTTTGTCAACTTCCCCACTCACAATAAAGGACATATTCTGGACTTAATCTGCTGCTCAGGAAAAACACCATTGGACTTTCAAACTGACCACCTCCCATACACAGACCATCTACTCCTCTCATTCAATATCAACCTGTCCTTCACCAAATCCAACCCACCACGCACTATACATTTCCATAAAATCAAGGACATTAACTTGGACAATTTAACAACTCTCATCCATAACCTCCCCAGTGCTGATAGGCTTTCTACAACAGATGAGTTTCGCACACACTACAACACAAACCTCCATAACATTCTCAACACTCAAAACCTGCTCTGTCTCCTTCATTCACACAGCCCCCTGGTTTACTCCGACCCTCAGACAACTCAAAACCAAAGGCCGCCAACTTGAAAGACTCTACAGAAAAACTGGACTCACTCTTCACCATGAAATGTACAAAACATATACCCTCCATTACAAAGACTCCATCCTGAATAAACCGGAGTAGTATGAGGATTTGGCAGTAGATTCAGCTCAAATGAAGGTAACTCTGAAGCACTTTTCTCACTCATTTCGTCCATCACAAAACCTTCTGACTCTCTTCCCTCTCATCTCTATTCATCTGATTTTTGCAATACTCTGGCCTCATTTTTCAACTCCAAAATCCAGCACATCCACCAGCAACTCACTCCATCTTCTCCCAATGCTCCTGCTCCATTCTTCCCAGCTCCAACCCACCTCTTCTCTTCCTTTACCTCCCCATCTGTCAACCAAATCTCCACCAGTCCACCTCCATCCAAAAATCAAAATCCTCTTTGTGTCAACTCGACCCTCTCCCCACCGTCCTTGTAAAAGCCTCCACTCCTGCACTTTCCCCTCTCATCACAAACATAATAAAAACCTCTCTATCTACTGGTACTGTGCCCTCCCCACTCAAAACTGCTGCCGTCACTCCCATACTCAAGAAACCTGGTTCTGATCCCTCTGACCTCAATAACTTCCGCCCCATCTCTAACCTTCCCTTCATCTCCAAACTGCTCAAAAAAACTGTTGCTGCTCAACTCCAATCTTACCTTTCCCACAATAACCTCTATGGACAACTTCAATCGGGCTTCCGTTCCCTCCACAGCCCTGAAACCGCTCTTCTTAAAATCACCAATGACCTTCTCCTCTCTGCTGACTCCGGTTCACTCTCCATCCTCCTCCTGCTTGAACTCAGTGCAGCATTCGACACATCTCACATTCCATCTTTCTGCACAGACTCTCCTCCATCGGAATCTCAAGTACTCCCCTCTCCTGGCTGGTTCCATTCCTACCTTTCTGACACCGCACCCAGTTCATCCAACTTAAATCCTTTTCCTCTCGTTCCTTACCCATCACTTCTGGTGTTCCACAGGGTTCTGTCCTCTGCCCCCTGCTTTTCCTAATCTACACCACTGCCATACTCATACACAGCCTCGTCACCTCCCGCCTCGACTATTGTAACTCCCTCCTGTTCGGTCTCCCTCAAAAAACCCTCCATAAACTCCAACTGGTCCAAAACACAGCTGCCCGTTTCATCCATGGATCTATAATAATAACTGGATAGGGTATTACTATCTTACAGCTGTCCCACCTATGGCACAGGGGGTGCCCGTGGTACTGTAGACTAAATTCACGAGGGCTACCCAGAAAAAAGTCCCATAGAACTCAATGCAAACTAAAACAGCTCGACCTCAGCTGACAGAGAACCTACAGCCTTCATAAAGATCGCATTTTGTGGGGATTTTAGTATCCCTTGTCATCCTGAACTTTTTTCTTCTTAAATCCTTTGGTTTTCTTTAAATCCACACTTTACTGCCACAAACTCTGCTCCTTGCCTTCCCGCTCTGGCTCTGCTCTGATGCTGCTCTGATGATCAGCTCCCTCTGTGCGCGTGCATGAAAGCCACACACGCACGTTTGGCGCAACGCATTAGCTAATCCACTGCGCAGAACCGGGAGGACCAGACGATGCCCAAATATAGGCGAGTTCAGCTAATCTCCCGGTCTTCGTGAAGTCCCATGCGCTACTGAGCACAAGCCATTCATTTGAATAGGGCGCCATCTTGGATCACCGGGGCTTGGTTTCATCACACACACCCTCTCCATCAACCCCTGTCCTACAACAGCTCCACTGGCTCCCCATCACTCACCGCATCCAATACAAAATCAACTCCTCACATACAAAGCCATCCACAACCTTTGCCCTTCCACACCTGACTGACCTCCTCCAGATCTCCACACATGCCCGTTCCCTCCGCTCCTCCTCCTCTCTCCAGCTCCTGGTCCCTCCTGCCCGCCTCGTCACCATGGGGAGTAGAGCCTTCAGCAGCTCTGCTCCCCAGCTCTGGAACACTCTCCCCCCTGACCTCCATAACACCGACTCACTCACATTCTTCAAATCCACCCTCAAAACAAACTCATCTGTCTAGACAAGCCTACTCACTAACATCATAACCACACTCTCCTCTGTCCATGATGCTTTTAACTTTGTATTTTAACTGTATTTTAGCTGTTTTTTAAAAATTCACTTTTTTACTTGTATGTAAGGCGACCTTGAGTGTCAAGAAAGGCGCCTAAGAAAAAAAATGTATTAATATTATTATTAACAAAATAACCCATGGCAATCAAATAAACAAGAAATAAAAACAATTTAAAACACACATTTGAATCTTACATAAAACAAATGTCCTTTTTCTCATACACATTTGGCTTAAGTCTTCTATATAGTGATAATCTAAAACACCCATTTATCATTAATATACACTTGCTTTTATATTGATAAGAATCCATTAATGATATCATAATATTTTTATTTGTATGCAAAGAAATAAGTCTGCACATTTCCGTATCCACCCTCTGTAAACCTGCACTGTGCACTTTCCCCTCACTGTAAACATGTTCTGTTCTAAGCCTCTTAGATAAATACAAATCCACAATAACATGCTGTAGCTATGATCCAGCTGAACAAGCCAAAGACTGCGACACAACATTACTTTTGGTTTCTCTTCATTCCAAACCTGTGAGACGGAAAGTGAAAGTCACTCGTCCATTGTGTCTGGTCTAGTTTCACTATGAGTGTGTTGGGCAGTAGACAGAGACACCCACCCTCTCTGGACAGCACTGTGATGGGGATCCCCGGGTCGCTGAGCTTTATAAAGGGTCCTTCTTCATCTTTGGCCAGTCCCTCTCTGGCCATCAGGATGTTCTTGGCACAAACAAAGCCATGGACGAGCTTCTTGTCCTCCTGAAATACAGCAATACAACTTCCAATAAATATATTACTGTGATCAAATGTAATACGTTTTTTTGGCCATTTAAAGTTAGTAATACTATTAAGGATGGGTCTAAAATCGAATCCAGGTCTGGTTTTAATGAGGGAACAATGTTGTAACATGGATTTTGCATAATACGTGTACTGCAAGTGATATAAATGCTATCATAAGTCAGCTAATAACTCAATAGTTGATAATATCAGTGCCATCGTAATAGCACGTCATCCCCCTTCCCAAGTCGTGCTTTAATTATTGGACAGGGACTTTGAGAACTTTGACTTTTATTTATTTTTAAATACTGTTTTCTTGTTTTGTTTGTTAAACAGTTTTAATTGCCTTTTCTGAACAGTATGGAGGATAATTTGTACCACCTGTCCCTGGTTAGGCTTTTAAAGAACAGTTAAGAAACAGATACAAAATGGTATCAAGACGAGTAGACATATTTGTCCTCATACATGTCCACTCTTCTGATTTTATTTGAGGCATGTTTTCAGTTTTGCAGAGAGAGATGATGTCCAACTGTGACTTCAACTCCCGTGGCTCCACAGATCCCTCCCCGAGAACGCAGACTGACCCAGAGTCAGGGGCTCAGCCATTAAGACTTTTTTGACTGATTTTCATTTATCAATTTTGTAAATACATTCTTATCCCAGCTTCTTATTAAAAACTATTAAAAAAAATTATTTCCAAAAGTAGAAATAGACAAATCAAAATGTACACACCAAACCAGTTTTGCCTCCATATGCATTTGTCACTTTGCACTTTTGACGGCTACTTACCAAGTAGCTGAGCGCAGAGGCGAGCTGTTTGGCCACCTGAAACTTCCAGGATGTGCTCAGCGGTGAGTGAATCTTCATGAACTGATCTAGCGGGCCATGCTGGACAAACTCTTCCACCATTATATCTGCAACAAGGACAGGGAGGACCAGAATCTATAATAGATGGCTTTCAAGACAAGTGATGCATGATTGCGTCTTGATTCATGGAAATTAACTCTGTTACTCCTTGGTCTTGCCCAATGCTCTGCCTCAGCCAGCCCCCGCCTTAGTGCTCACTAACCACTCGATTCAAGCAATTCATTTTAGCTCATATTTTTATCATTTTTTGCAGAGTGTAATCCATTTATTTGGTTATCATTTAGATATAATTTCCCTATAATTAACCCTGATTATTCCCCCCTTTGTAATTCCCAGATCAAACTACTGTTCCACTATTCCATTGTTCCACTCACTGCCACAGCTTTACCTGCTCAACTCCAAATCCCTTCCTCCAATTAAGTGTAAACTGGACTTGGTTTTTGCATTATTCATTCAGGGATTTTGGTTCCACACACTAGAACCAGTATCACGAAGGATACAACCCAAGTACATGATCAATATTGGTATGAATATAAGGATTCCTTTAAAACATTTGCTAAATTGACAGTTCCTCGTTTGCAGTTTCTGTTTCTGTTTTTGCTATATTTAAAACCTTTTAAAAATGGTCCAAAAGGTATTGTCACGCAACTCCCATTTTTGAACCTTGTTTGCGTGAAAGGAGAAGTGTGAGAAGAGAAACGCATAAAAAAAAGACTTACTGTCCTGGTTTCGGACACAAACGCCGTAGAGCAGCACGATATGTTTGTGTGAGACTTGTCGCATCATACTGGCTGTTTCAAAGAAGGCCTGCAACAACAGAGCTAGGTTTACCACCATTCATATAGATAACATTAAGGGAAACGGCACATAACAAAAGGCTGACTTTGTTATGTTCGAGTAATGAATATGATTTCAACAGTTAGATAACATGTTTTATAATAATTTGATGACTGCAAGTTGGGTTCTCATTTTTTCACTTTCTATTTCTATTTTCTAGCCTAGGGAATTTATGAGCTTTTAATCCCTTCATTTTTCTTTTGATATTCTATATACGTCTGATGTTTTTGTTTGTTTGTGGCATTGTATTCTAATCTGTAGCACTTTGATCTTTCCTGGAAATGTAAGGTGCAATAGAAACAAAATGTATTATTATTATTATTGGGACAAACACAATGTACTTCCTATCTATGCAACAACGTACCACAGCTTTAAATAGACGTATGAGCATACTGTATAACATAGCCAAAACAAGACCTTTTCATATGATTCAAAATGCTCCTGTTATAATGGTGCAGTACAATAACATTTATTCTCAATCTGCATTTCTACTTTTTAAATGGAAGTCTCTTTAGTAGGTAGCATATACGATAGTTTTTGAATGTCCTTTGAGTGTCCCGAAAGATCATGACTAAAGCCAGAACAACGAGACATTCTATTTTTTTTTTTTTTTACAGATTAGAGACAAATTATTCCAATGCCTTACCAAAGACATGTCCCTGTCTCCAGCACCCAGCACCTTGAGGACCACCTTCATCTCCTGGAAATAACCCATGTCCCCGTCCTCATCACTTTTCACCTTCAGCCTGCCCAAGTAGATGTTGGTTTTGGTTCCTTGGCCCAAGTGGTCACCCTTTGAATAACGGACAAACAAAATAGGATTCTTTAGGTCACAGTAAATGCCTGTAGCATAGACACACAATTAGGTTTGGAAAAATGTGTGTATGGTTTTGGTATGTTTACCAAGCTACATGGCAACACAAAAGCAGATTTAAAATATTGAGAAGATACATTTAAATTGTGACTTGAACCATTTAAAGCATTTCTGAAATGTATTAACAATTTCAGAAATGAACATCTGACGCACCAAAGAATGTTGTGTGAAACATCTCCATAATAAAGAAACAAGCAGAAAAACACAACTATGAAATTGTCCCCATTTTGAGGAACCGTATAAATAATATTATATTTATCATTCATACATAAATACTGAATACTTTGAAACAAAAACAAGATGCAAATGTTTTGGCTATGTGTGTTCTTTTCTAATGGAAAGGACAAAGAAAATATGCAAAACAACAGAGATCACAAGATCATCATGTACCTCCACTATCTCATCTTTCAGGATCCGATGGAAGCTGAGCTGGCTTTCCTGAGTGGAGGCTGAAGGCAGCGGCGCTCGGTCCTTGGAGATCACCAGCAGATTGGAAACCTCTGTGAAGGCCACAGATTAGATTAACTCAGACAATAGCTTAATGTTGTTTTTCATTGTCATTTTGAGAGAAGCGAAAACATCCAAATTGCAATGATTAGAGCAGCTGTGTGTAACTGTCTACAAATGGCTGCAGCTGGTGATATTCAGCAGATTTTCAAACAGATAGTCAAATGTATCAGCTGATCATGTGGTATGTTGTGTGACACTTCGACTTGTTATTACTTTAACAAGTCCAAACATGTTATGGTAATAACGTCTTTGGTGTCAGACTTCCACATTCACAATAGCTGTTTACCCTGCCGAGTGTGTGCCGAAACCCCCTTGTTACACCACACCCGTGTCATGGAAATCACAAAATTTCACACAAATACAATACATGGCTCACAACATGCGATTATGGATTAGGCAGGAGAAGACATTTAATTTCAGGCTGTGCCAAAAATCTAAAGATCGCCATTTCAACTTTGCTATGTTTTTGTGATCACCAATAATGTGGTAGTAACGTTAAAAAGAGCTGGAGGAGTTTTCATTCTCATTTTGATGAAACTGAGTTTAAGATGAGCATGAGTTGGGATCTCTACTCTGTGTTATAGTTATTTTTTATTTAGTTAATTCATTTGATTACGTTTTCAGCCTCTTCAGCCTCATGTCTCAATGTTAATGCAACACGTCGTTAATCCAGATTGAGAAAAACATGTGATTGCATTTTTTTACCCTCAATCTCTCGGTTTTTGGCACAACCCTTCAAGCCCTGTTATATCTAGAATAAACTTGACATGTGTTTAAATCAATCTACAAACAACTTTGAGCGTGGAAAAAACAGTAATATCACTTCAAAAGTCACCTTGAACACCAACATTATAACTGAAATGAACTGATGTGATTTTTGTAAGTCATCAAATGCAAGTCAAAATGCAAGTGAGAAAAGAGATTTTTTGCCAAAACACATCGGTTACGTCAATGTGGCTGCAACGAGCGTTTGATGTTGTGTTGTCGCTGCATCTGATATGTTTTTGAGCCATCCGTGCGCAATGTGGGCGAACATTGTGTCTCGCTGTGTGTGTGCATCTGGTTTGTGGCCGCCTTGAACAACTCCTGTGATAGAAGTAGCACATTGTGGTCGACGAGGGGAAAAGGCTGCAGCCCGTCAACACCGTTATTTCATGTTCCACACGGCTATAGACGAGACGTTTGCTTCGTTCTCGTCAGTGATAATGCGAGCATGCTGTAATTCCACTTCCTCTTCTGAGATGTAAACAAGCTGTGGCTACGGAACACACTGCACTTTGACAAGAATGAAATGAAACGACTTATTAGCTTGTTGATTTGACTTGGCTATTAGCTATAGCTATGGTCATTTTTATCATTCTATTGACAAAGCAACAAACCAATTATACTGTGCCTTAATAAACGCATGAGCCTGTCAAGTAATTTGATCCCAATTGCATTATCTCATTACACCAGTCCAGCCATCAAATTCTATTAATTTCATATAAACAAACACTATTACATAAGTGACATGTCATAAAACACAGGTATGCACATGCAGACACACACACACACACAAACACACACACAGCTCCACGTTTCCCTAAATGAGATACACACACACACACCATCTACTTTAGCTCCGGAAACCCACATTTACAACTCTCTTCCTCCATGACACCGTTTCACAAACGGATGAAAAGGAGATTGAAATTTCTACAGAGCAAATAAACACATTTGCAAAAGCTTTTCTTATTTACTTATAATTACACTGTGCAGTAGGTAGGGCTGTAATTAACAAAGATTTTGATTATTCTTTCTTATAAACGATTAGTTGTTTACATCCTGAAAGGTTGGCAAGTATAGAATTCTTTATACATTTGACCAAAAAAAGATTCAAGTCATACCCTTGACAGTATAACTTGTACTACACAGTTTTACAGAAAAGAAAAGCTGAAATAGCTGGTGTTTTAAGACTAGATAAGTGTTTTGCCGCTGCATCTGATATGTTACACCGGCAAAAGAAGACGAGGTGAATCCACCCTAAACACATGGCTTTATATCTGCAACGTCCAGTGAAGCCAAAAAGCGATGTACCCCACAAGGTATCATTTGTGAGCCCTCATATCAAGCAGGTTCTTCTTGGGCGGCATTGGCATGTACAGCTCACTTAGGATACTGGAGACACCGCGACCTGCTCCATACCACCCTAATGCTTCTAAACGGCCACCATACACACTCACAAAAACTGCAAGGATACAAGCATGTCTCAGTGCAATATAAATCAAATTATAACAAGATTGAGTTTACTTTCGGTGTTACATGTTACATGTTGGGGCTTTATTAGGAAATACTCAATACTGATAAATCCTAAGCTCAGCTCAGGTCAACTGCACCTCTCAACTGTGACCAGGGAAAACAACATTTTATATTCAAACATATAGTTATTATAATATATGTTTATAAAAAATAATGACATTCAAATAAATATTAGAGAGCCCTTAATATTCCAATATTATACTGTCATAAAAGTGGACGCATCTGATCTAAATAAAGAACCAGTGTTGACGGCATTGATCATCTGCATGCACTACATGATTACAAGCATTTATTGGTCAAAATATGAATACATTTTTTTATATATTTGAATTTTAATATTAATAAAACAATGACATTCAAATATGATTTTTGAGCTTATGTCCCAGCCCTAATGCACACACGTATGCACACACGCACACACGTTAACCAATGCATTTTAGCATCCAAGAACAACAATGTAACATGATTAAAAGCTCATATAGCATGAATGGCCTCTTACCTCTTGGCTGAGGCGGGCAGCAGCGGCTCAGTTGGAAGTGTAAGTTGTCAGTTCGCAGGTATTGTCCTTCTAGATGCTCCAGCAGCTCCTTCAGAGTGGAGCACTCTGTGTCTGTCCCATACAAACGGAAACCACTGGGGCACAGCTTCTCGATCTGAAAGTTTTTATACTGGCACATGGGCTGGCCCTCAAACTGAGAAAAATAACAAAAAACATGAATATATAAATATAAGATGTACAAAAATGTGTCAGACAGCAGGGTATAAGATTTGACTGTTGGAACAAATGCTTGAAATTTGCGCAAGAAAAGATGCCTTTGTGTTTCATGAAGAGAGAATGGCATTAAGTCTTGCTCGGAACTACCCCTCAAAATTTGTAACTCATACATTCCCGTTCAAACGTACCAATGCTTCTACTGATTCTACAAACACAACAGTTGGACGCTGACATTTTAATGTTCACTACAGCAATTAGTTAATTGTCCAGAAAACACTTTACCTCACGGCACACAACCGTTATAATGATGTAGTTGTAGTGGGTACAGCTCCAGCGAAGGATGTAGGCGCCCTCTTCATTGCCTTCTTGACGGAGCTTCTGGATAGCATACTCCGTACTAAATATTAAACATCAAAACAGACACAAATTTATGAGAAAATGAATCAATTTGCGATGCAATAATACCATATTGAGACTTTTGACACGTGCTTGTATATGCGAAAAATGTATGGTGAAATGAATATTGTACATAATGCATTACCAAATGGGTCCATGGCAGCCATTCTCGATGTCATGCACCACTGAAGAAGGAGCCACCTCTTTGCAGAGGTAGTGATGGGCGTCCACTGTGAGTCTGAAGTACCCATCCACCAGAGCAGCGAAGGACAGGGCCTCTTCTCGGGAGGCCATTTGCAACTCCTACAATTAAAAATAGAACATTACATTTATTTTTTTAGTACATGTTTTGTGGTCACCATTTTATAGTAGTATGGATGAGAATAGTTTTTCTACTTTATGAACATTAAGGATTTTAATCTGTGACGTACTTATGCCGAGAATCTGGACTAAGCTTGGAGAGTCTGCAATTCAGGAGCTAAAATGAGGAGCGCTTGCTTTGTAAAGCACTTTGAGTTGGCTCATTTATGAATTGCGATAAACAAATAACTTGCCTTGCATCTACACATACATCTACATGTTCTAGACCCATGGGCCAAATCTGGCCCGCAAGACCCTTTTTAGTGGCCCCTGAATAGATTTTTATAATATTATTATCATAACAGTAATTTGCAGCACTGATGGTAAGGGGCTACTATGGCATGTTATACTTGTTTTTACAGCTTATTATCTCAGGAAACAACCATAGGATTGGATATGTTCTAAAATGTTGACTAAAATGTTATTACTACTATACTACTATAAAATAATATCCAAACTCATGCCAAATGTATTTAATTTGTAAATAGACAAAAATATAGAGAAAAAAACACATAAAAACACAAACAAAAATACTAAATAGCACTTCTATACTTCTCTCTCTAACTAGCTCTGTTTTTAAAAATGAGTTTGACACCACTATTCTAGGGGAAATAACCTTGGGTCATTTTAGCAACACTAACAATTATAACTGTGAAGGTTGAGAGGATCCGATCTAAAACGTACAGATGGAATGACACATGGGCAAAAATGTGACCTTACTGTATCAATGTACGTCATTTTCTAAGATTGACACTAAGTGGTAATTCGGCCATATATTGAGTATTGTCGCACCATTTTCTTGTTGTCTTGTCTCTTGATGGTGACAGTGGACTCCTTGATGACCGTGTGCGTGATCTCATGGAAATCGCAGAACACCTCCCAGCCCCCGTTGTCCTTTTGGTAAACTTTTTGTTTGCCGTCTTGCTTGCTCTTCTTAGACTTTCCTTTTTCCTTGGATCCAGTGTGGGTCTAAAGTAATTTCAACACACTGGTTAGTAAGTCAAAAGAGTTAAGTCCAATGGAATAAGGTATAGTTGTACTTGAAAGTTTACACAGCGAGGCGGAAATGTCAATGTTCTGGCCAAGTTGTGAAGATCGATGAACGATAAAACAGAAACCATTTTTAATTTATTAATGGTTAACGAAATAACGAAATAACGTTAACGAAAATAAATAAATAATAATAATCAATATCGATACTTGGCAAATGCATATCGATAATCGAATCGCGGGAGAAAGTATCGCGATATATCGAAAAATCGATATATCGTCACACCCCTAATGACAGTTGTGGATTTCATTTATTTATGTATCCTCACTGATGGTAAAGCTGTCCATTCTTGTTAGCAAAAAGTCTCCAGTTCCTGTAAAGGCTGCCTTTCATGCCCCGAACATTTCAGATCTCCTCAATTTTGCTATAATAAGAAATTTGTCATATGGCTTCACACAACCACTAACGATGATTGGGGGAAAAAGGTTGATATGTTATCAATCAGAATCTCTGAAATATGGCCAAAGCAATGACATCTCTGGGAGGCAGTTTAAACTTTGAAGCACAAATGTCTGATTGAGATGAGTAGTATACACACAGAGACAGGCTTCCTCCTCCAGGAGATCCCAGTGGTGCCAGTGACTAACACCTGTATGTCCTGGCTCGCTTCCAGACTCTGCTGTGGAGTTGTGTGGATGTAGTTCTTCATGTAGTACCCTTAAAGACAAAAGATACAAAATAGGGTCATGACGCAGAAGCACCTATTATAGGATACATGGTTGAGAAGCCATTTATTTAAGGAATTCTATTATTATTTACAAAATCACATTAATAAAAACATGTTTGTTGGTAAAACCACTGTACCTGTATTTATTTTTAACAATATGCACCATGCTTATTCTACAATTTTTCACATCCGACTTAAACTTAAATAATACATCAATACAATTATTAATCAAATCTGTGCAGCAACCTTATGACAATATTGCTCCCAAAGATAAATAATTTCTCATTGCTCAGAATTTTCTGAGCAAAGACAAAAACTATTTTGTTCAAACATCTACATAAATTAAAGACTTGTATTTCTACTAGAAAAACATGATGTATTATAGGTACAAAATAGGAACTCCATAAACATATTTTGAAAAGAGTTGGAATTATGTTTTAAATGTAACTCTTGAATTTGCTTTTTTGGCATTTTTGGAAAACCCTAAACCTAAAGAAATATCACAATTACATATTTTGGGGCAGCCCTAATCTAACATAAAAAAATATATATAATATGTTGTCAAAATGCTTCCGCCCTAGCCTGGCCTTAGCCATTCGTACACTTCGTTCAATCATCATTTCACTGCATGTAACGTCTGGGTCTGGTCCCTGTGTTAGCGAATACAATCGGTTGAATTTCGACCGACCATTCAGAGAGCGCGTAAGGAGAGTGTTGTAGTTAGTTGTGGGGGATGTCAAGAGTTTGCGTCGAACAGGCAGGTTGTAGCTTGGCAATGGCGAAAAATGCGATAGTAAAGAAATCCAGTCTGGTTCTATCAAGAAATTGAAGCCGGAGCAAGGGTAGTGTTTAGCAAATGTAATCGCTGGAAAAAATGGTGGCGCTACTCGCCACGGGCTCCGTTAGCGGTAAAGGAGATGGCTAGGCTAAATGCTAAATGCTAACAATAGACTAGGGGGCACTACATACGTCACGGTAAACTCAGATCCAATCGTTTCAATCTGCAAAAGGAGTTAACCCCTCCCACCTGTAAACGGAGCTCAATGGAGCACCTCCAGACCTTAGTATGAAATGTCATTTGTACTATGGTGTGGTACGACCAGGCTACTTCCGCCCTACATAACAGATGGTTTGGCCCTGGCGTCCCCGGGTCCTACCGTGGTCCAGGCCGTTGCAGAGCTCTCCTTGGTGCTTTATGCAGACGGACAGAGGCTCCAGCAGCTCCGTGCCCATCCCCTGGGTCAGACCTTCTAGTGTGGACAGGTACTTGATCTTCAGGTCGTAAGGAACGATCTTGCTTTCCCTGACCGTGCGCTGGCTGAATTCGCTCAGGAACTTCTTGAACACGTTGTTGATCCGGATTCGGGTCAAAAAGTTGCGCTGCTTTATGTTGCGGTTCAGTGACTCCGGAATGAAACTCTTGTAACTAAAACAAGAGAACACAAATAGTTAAAAGATGGATTTAGCCATTTTTATTGCTTATACATCCATCATTAGGATTACACATATCAAGCAAAACTAAACTGTGACAATGACCTCCTCCTGTTTCATGGGATAAAATATATTTATCTTCAATGAGAAGACAGATAGATTGCGGCATGGATTTACTTCTCTTCCAGTTACCTCTTCTCTCTGTGTGTGTGTGTGTGTGTGTTTTAATGAATGTAAATCTGATCTCTGTATATTTGGTAGATTCTCTACAATAAATAGAGCTATAGGATTACTTTTCTTACCTCATTCCTCTCGAAGCCATTGTGAGTGGTATTTCCATAATCAGAGAATAATGAGTAATGGCCAAAACCGCCATGCCCAAGCACTCATTTTCTATATCATGTTGCTCTGTATCTGAGTGAGACACTCTCAAAGGAATAAAGTCTGTGTGGAAGTCATGCTGGCCCTAGACAAGACAAAGACAATAACAGATATTACAGGAAGTTAGTGGCAAACAAAAGCATAATATACTTAACCAAGGATACGTAAACTAGGGCTGGGCGATATGGCGAAAAAGTAAAATCTTGATTTTCAAGTTTAAAAACTATTTTTAAATTGTTTCCTCCAACACGTATTATACAAGTCTTGAACAGACTGTGCCGATATTGCAAGTATAATTCATGTGATGTTAGAACTCTCACAATATCCTTCATTCGATTTCACGATTTTCACATTTTTCACAAATTCAATTTTTTCAAAAGCTGATTCATTGCCTAAATTCAATTTATTGCCCAGCCCTAACGTAAACCTAAGCGCAGAAAAGTTGTTTTTTATCTTATCAAAGTTGCATTTTCGGTGAATCATATACCATAAAAATACCATATGTTATAGGGTTTCTTTTTATTATACTGCTTCCAGAACCAATGTTTCAGCAGAGGAAGGAAAGTCAAATTTGGAACTCTTTAAGACCTACTTCAAACCTCAGAGCTCAGGGCCTGGCAGCTGAGGCTTGTGAAGCGTCTTTGAGTATCTTATACTCAATTCAGAAATGAGCCTTATTTATGATAAAATGTCAGATTATTACTGACATATTCATGAATTAAAATGCATGCATGGCGCATGGCGCGGTAAAGATGGCGCCGTGGCAAGAGCTCTGGTGTGTGTGGTGCACACTGGGGTAGTCTTGCACAGTTTTTCCAATGTGGTTTACTGCAAATAAATGAATCTGATCTGAATCTGAATTAAAAATATAACATTTATTGTAAGGAAAAGAAGAAACACTTTTCTTGGTAAATGACACAAAGATAACTAAGCACATAAAGCCTCCTGCTGACCACTGCTGTGACTGATGGGGCCACACACCTGAGCAAAGAGGTATTCCAGCGAACCAGCGTCCAGCAGAGGAGTTCCTTCAGGGGTTTGCTTTTGCGGGCTCAACCCGCCACGGAGTTTGCTGATGCAGTGTCTCCACACCGGAGACTCACCTTCTGTGGTGCCATGCCAGTTTTTAAAGTAAAACCTGTCAAGAGCGAAACACAGGGAGGAAGTGATTTAGTAAACACTATATGTTTTCATTTTTACTAATTACCTCATTAGTGAATAGACAATTTTAGGTGCATGTAATTTCAATACAAGGTTTAGACCATAGCTGTTTAAAATAAAAAATATATAAAATCTCTGAAATAGCATAATTAGCATATTATTCACCAGCATAACAAAGGTTACAAAGGTTATCACGGTGGGCACCATAATCGGTTCGACTGTATTATGTTGCATTGAGCTGCTGTTTATTTTATTTTTGTGTAACTCATGTCCAGGACGACACTCTCTCCTATAGATTTCATAACATATAAACAAATATTAACAAAGGTTTAGTAAGATAATTATATGGGCATATTACCTCATGCGATAATGCAACTTCAGACAGGTGTCATCTGGGACCTTAAACTCGTGGTTTGGAGGGTACCACAAGCCGCTCTCGTTGCAGAGAGAAAACAGGTTGAAGCATAAGGGAGAAATTGCTGTTGGAAACAGAGAGTAATATACATGTATAGCAAATAAAAAAATAGTGTAGAGTTTAAAAGTGCTTTAAAGCTGCACTAACTGATTTTGAGACATTTTCAAACGCTCGCCCTCCCCGCACCCACGGAGCTTTCGCCCCCCACTACCCCCCTCCCACGCAGCCTGTGCTCCGTGCTGTTGTTAGCTTCGGAGCTAGCATCTCACAATATGGAACAATATGGAACTTTGCACATGGATGGCGTGACCACAGAATGACAGAACCGGGAAGCGCGGAGAGGACGAGACTTTCTTTTGGATGGATGTTTCGCTGTGTAAGCAGTAACGAAGACACAGGAAGTTTCAGGTTAGCCTGCGCCGCTTGTTGTGCTAACTCAGCTGTCTGTGCTGACCAGAGACCTGTGGCTTTTCTGTGGGGGCCAGTGGTCCGCTGTGATTGGTCACAATCTGGACCCGAAACACATTCTCTTCCTCGTTTCACCGAAACTCGATCTAAAATATAATGTCACGCCAGCACAAACCTGCGCTACTTATTGTTTAAAAGGACGTATATCCCAATGCACTACATGGATATGGATTGCATTTTCGTAATGAATACGAAAATAAAGTCAGTTAGTGCAGCTTTAAGTGCAGCCTCACATTCCACAAATGAAGGCAATATTCAATCTCTGCACTTCAGCTTTTTTGCTCACAATCCATGAACCAAGGTCCTATTAGAAGAAAAGGGCACCAAGACCTGTACATCATTCCTTTTTGCTTGATGGAAATCTGTTTCCATAGCAGTTAATGATTCAAAACGGTACAGCAGCGGTGTGGTATCACAAAATACTAGTATGCTCTGTAAGCATCATGGTAAAGATAATCGTTGCCTGTGAGAGCAAAAGCTGCAACACAACCACCTCTAACACTACTATTTCCACAGTGAAGGCTCTGATCCACTAAACTTGTGGGTTTGCTCCTCTGTGTTTACAGGTTCTAAAAAAGTGTCACAAATTCACTGCCATTATCAAATATCCAGAATTACTGGCTTACTAATTATGAATATTTGAGAAATACATTGTAAACATATGCTTGCTTTCATGTTGTATTACATTTAACGCTGCACTAACTGACTTTATTTTTGTATTGTTTACGAAAATGCTATCCATGTCCATGTAGTGCATTGGGATATATGTCCTTTTGAAGAAAAAGTAGCGCAGATTTGTGCTGGTGTGACATTATATTTTTGATCGAGTTTTGATGAAACGAGGAAGAGAATGTGTTTCGGGTCTCAGATTGTGACCAATCACAGCGCACCACTGGCCCCCACTTTCGTGAGAAATCTACAGGTCCTTTACCATAGACGGCTGAGTTAGCACAACAAGCTGAGGAGCTAACCTGAAGCTTCCTTGTCTTCGTCACCGGTTACTGCTTACACAGCGAAACAGCTATTCAAAAGAAAGTCTCTTTCCTCCGCGCTTCCCGGTTCTATCGTTCTATGGTCACGCCATCCACGTGCAAATCCATATCCATGTATTATCCATATTGGGAGACGCTAGCTCCGTCAACAACAGTGGGTGTGTGTGGGGGGCGATAGCTTCGTGGGTGCGGGGAGGGGAGCAGAAAGAGAGAGGCCAGCGAGTCCACGGCTTCAAAATCCCAAAGTCAGTTAGTGCAGCTTTAAATACTGACATCAATGCGCTATGCAATTATTTTAAAAAACACATTTTAAAAGAGGGACTAATCAATAAATTGATCATTTGAAAGCCCTATGCTATTTTAGTCATTTTTATCTTTTCTCTCAATATTCTAATAGTCTGACCCGAGTTGGGCACCTCTGGACAGTTTTGGCTATAAATTATGATTACGATTTTAATATGATTGTAATTCATCGTGCAGCCCAAGTGCATCCTCATCTTTTATCAAAAAAGTTGATGTGGCCCAACAGATATCACACTCACAGCACTTCTTGGCCGCCTCGACGCAGAGCTCTTCAGCGGTGTAGCAGTTGCCCTTGAAGTAGAGGGGCTCCTGCTCGGTCGTGTACAGCTGGATGTAGAGGCCAGGCGGGGTGTCGGGTGGAGAGGCGGCCTGCGAGCGCCTGGACCTCCGCATCTTCACACACAGTTGCCGACTCAGCTCCATGGCCCTCAACGTTGGCATTCAGACACTGCTCCGGTGGAAACAACAGTCAATGGTCAATATCTGATCCATCAACACAGCATTTTCTAAGGTTGCAGCAAAAGTGACCTCTGTTTGAATTTTGTGACTGTTAACAGTGACGACGGGAATTGAAAAGGTATTGATTTATCCTGTGTATTTATTGAATGTTTCTATATACAAAGAACACAACCTGCATAATTCTATAGAAATAAAAAGTATGGAAAATATGTTATTTGAAATATGTTTAATGTCATAATGATTATAATAACTACGCTAAGGGGCACAGGTGTGTATGTGAATAAACATCTCACAAGAAAAAACGACAAAAATGCTTGACAGGCTGAAAAAACAAAAGAAGATCCAAGATACATGGACAAGAATTTGTAAAGTTATGATTAAACCTAATGGATCGCAGGAGCAAGCCAAGATAATACCAATTTAAGAATGTGAACACGTAGACCAGTTCAGATAAGTTCACAAAAGGCTTGGAGACTGACTAAAAGTAGACAAAATGGAGGAATCAACAGACTTCAAGACTTTTTAATACCAGGATTCCAAACCATGATTTAGAAACCGACATTGATCCTGATGGTTATTTGTCTGAGAAATTAAACCTGGACTGAAAAAATTATTCGGAAAACGAAATTAAAGCATTGACAGATCGATTTTCTTTGATCCAGTTCAAAAGCGGGAGTCAGTATAAACATACATTTAAAAAAAGATGATTTAAGTGGATTTATGTTACAATTTAGTGTTTTAGCAGTATGTGAAACTTGGCTGCGTGATGATAAGAAGTTGGAAGATTATGATTTATTTACAAAAAATAGAACAAACAAAAATGGGGGAGGAGTTGCCCTCTTTGTAAATAAGAAAAGATGTATAAAATGTAACATTAAGGAAATGACATTGGCTGTAGATGAGTGGCTGGAGTGTGCTTCTATTGAGATACAAAGTGAACTGGAAAAGAAAAGTATTATAATTAGCTATATCTTTAGGACTCCTGGATCATGCATTGATGAATTTAAAGTGATAGTCTGTAACTCTAAATGAATTACAAATTTTAGGAAATGTGTTAAATTGACCTCCTGGCCTTAAATGTTGATATAAAATAAGTCATTTTATTAATTCTAATATTACGGGCAAGTCCCGCCTTCCCTGCTCTTAGCTATAGTTTAGAATCCACGGTGCCGTCGAGGTTAACCAATCGAGTCATGCCAAGGGCTGTCAATCATCGGCGCTGATGCTCGCAGCTGCGCGCATGCACAGTTGTTTGTTTTTGCGGAGCCTCTATTAGGCTCTGGAACTACATGAAAACTGAACAAAGGATTCTGAATATCTGCGCTGAGGTACTTATGTATATACTGAACCTATATCCATAATCAGATCCTCTGCAGATGTGTCCTATAATGTGCCATTCATGATAATAGCACTTCCTGGTTTGCCGCGATCGCTTTTTTGTGTGCATAAAAACATATTTTTTTTTCATTAAAACGTTCACAAATAATTCTGAAAACCTCCGTGCATGTGTATTAATAATGTATATGTATAATATGTTCTCTGATTAACATTTCAAAGTGTTACGGAAACGTAGGTGTAGACCAATCAGAAAGGAAGGAGGAGGGAGCTTGCGTCGTTTTTTTCAAATGAAGTACCTCTCTGTCTCTCTTTCTGACAAACTCCAGACAATCACTTTAACAGCAAATTATCTGTATATTTAAATATTGATTTATTGAAATCCTGTGAACACATAAAAACAACAGATTATGTAAACAAAATGTTTGGTTTGGGTATGTACCCTTTAATAACAAAACCAAGCAGAATTAAAAAAGGACAGCGCTAAATTGTTTTATAATATATTTCTCAACTTAATGGACAGAGAAATTCAAAAGGGACTACTTCTAACAGATATGTAATAAGTGATCATTTGCCAGTTTTTGTGGTGTTCTCAAAATCTTTATGTTACTGTATGACATTCAGGAAATGCAGTTTTAATAGAAGCATCACCACCAAATTTCAAATTTGAATCTGAAATACAGGAAAACAAAAAAGGAGGAGGCTTAGCTGCCATTTTTAGAGACCACTTTGTCTCCCATAGAATGTCTCTTGGGAAGTTTTCGTCATTTGAATATGTGTCTTTTAAAATACAACAAAAACAATCTCCTCCAATTCTCTTCATTGTCCTATACAAGCCACCGCAGTCATGTCACAGTTTTATTGATAATTTTACCGAGTTGCTTTCCGTTGTATGCACAGATTTTGATAGTTTGGTTATTACCAAAATAACTTTGCATCTTACAGAGATTAGAGGACTGGGCTGGCGTCGCTGGCACCGCCCTAAGTTGGTTTGGGTCTTACCTTGAGGACAGGAAGTACTTTGTGGAGATTGGAAACTGTGTCTCAGATCATATGGCCCTGACCTGTGGAGTACCACAGGGCTCGATCCTTGGACCTCTTCTGTTCAATCTCTACATGCTGCCGTTAGGTCAGTTAATACGCAGAAACAAAGTGTCCTATCACAACTATGCAGACGACACTCAGATCTATGTCTCACTGACTGCAGGAGAACATGGACCAGTGGACTCACTCCTTCACTGTATCCAACAGATCAGTGAGTGGATGCAAAACAACTTCCTTCAGCTAAACGCAGACAAAACTGAAATGATTGTCTTTGGTCCCCAGAAACAAAGAGAGAGCGTCATCTGTCACCTACAGTCTCTCTCCCTAAAACCTTCAAACAAGGTCAGAAATCTAGGGGTAATACTGGACTCAGACTTAAATTTTAATAGCCACATCAAATCAGTAACATCAGCAGCTTTTTACCATCTAAAAAACATTGCCAGGATCAAAAACATAGTGTCTAAAGCAGACTTGGAGATTCTTATCCATGCATTTGTCTCCAGTAGGTTAGACTACTGCAATGGCCTGCTCCCTGGTCTCTCCAAACAGGCTGTAAAACAGCTGCAGTACATTCAAAATGCAGCAGCTCGAGTCCTGACAAGAACCAGGAAGTATGGCCACATTAGTCCAGTTCTCAGGTCTCTGCACTGGCTTCCTGTGGCTCAGAGAATAGACTTTAAAACAGCTCTGCTTGTGTACAAGTCTCTCCATGGCCTCGCACCAAAATATATTAGTGACATGTTAGTACCATACGAACCAGCCCGAACTCTGAGGAGCACAGGGACTGGACTCCTGTTAGTGCCTAGAGTCAGAACTAAATATGGGGAGGCTGCTTTTCAGATTCATGCTGCTAAAATCTGGAACAGTCTTCCTGAAGATGTGAGACAGGCCTCCTCTCCGACAATGTTTAAAACCAGGTTAAAGACAGTTCTGTTTAGCTGTGCATACAACTGAGGTATTTTATACTTTTAGCTTTCTTTTTAATGTTCTGTGATTATTTATGATTTTAATGCTTTCTTGTTTTGTTCAGCACTTTGAATTGCCTTGTGTATGAATTGTGCTATATAAATAAACTTGCCTTGCCTTGCCTTGCCTTGACCACTTTTTGTCCAGTGAGGAAGGTCAAGTTGTAAAGTGGATCTGATTATTATAACCATTATTTGATGACAGAAGAACTATTATGATATACTGTTGCAAAAGTGTAAATCTAACATTAAAGCAACTTGGGGTATGGAAGTAATTGATCAGCATTATTCCAAAGATCCATTGATGTACATAGTCAAAAATGAAGGCAAAGAAACAAATCACATGCAAAAGATTGCAATGTAAGTCTAAACTTGGCGAAACAAATACAGCATACTCATGCTGCAGAGGCCTCTTTTGATAAAAAAACCATAATTCCATGTTCCAGTATAGGGCAGTATGTGAGAGTGATATATAAAAATAAGACATCAAAGGTATTGGTGCACTTTATTGATCCCCGTAGGGGAATTCAATCCTCTGCATTTGACCCATCCTGATGCCGCTAAGGCTTAGGTCAGGAGCTGTGGTCGCCGTAATACAGCGCCCGGGAACCCATCTCCAGATGTTCATGTTCGGCTTGGTCAGGACCAGAGCTGGAGGATTTAACCTAGTGTGCATGTTTTTAGTGGTAGTGGAAACTGGAGTACCCGGAGGAAACCTACGCAAGCACGGGGAGAACATGCAAACTCCACTCAGCCACCATGCCGCATTTATAAGCAACTGAATATAATAATTAGGGATGTACCGAATCCAGGTTTTTGGGGTTCGGCCGAATACCGAATCCACTGGTTAAGATTCTGACAAATCCGAACCCGAATACCGAATCCTATTCCATCCTCAGTTCATTTATGTTTCATACGCAAATGTTTTAACAGCGGCGGTGTTGTGTACTGTTTAGGGTCCTTACCACCACGAGACAAATCGGCATTGCAAATTGGACGTGTAGCTCGACCAGAATCTATTATTATAACATTTATAATAATCCCGTTTATCATTAAACACAAATACATTCAGTTCACAGCAGTGTAAAACTTCAGTGATAAAGTACATATATTACTGTGCATGTCATGTAAAAATAAGAGCTAAAGCACCATACATGCATAAATAGCTTCCGCTGGTTCAGGTCAAAACATAACATATATGGACATTTGAGAAATATGCCAAACTCGTCAGAGACAAGTTGAGAGAAGCTAATGCTAAGAGGCTAGTTGCCTAAACATGGACTCACCAACTCTGCTTCTACAGTCATACGCAGCTCAGATGACAAGTACCTGGCACTGGTAATCGGCTCCATAAAGTTGGTGAATAGGCAGTTAGTTTATGATCCCATCAGAACCGCATTACAGGTGAAAACAAGAATCATAACATCCCCTCGCTCCGGCATATAACTAGAGCTAATTGGTCAGCGGGGATCACATGACCAGGAAGAGACCTCAGCGCACCCAAAGAGGAACAGAGAGCAAGAGGATATAAACCTCCGCTAAAGTGCATGTTTATTTACACTTCCGAACGAATCTGCCACAGCGCGCATAAGTGCGGGGTTCGGTGGGGAAAAATTATAAGGTTCGGCCAGAAACAGA